TGGCGGCGATGTTCTTAAACGCCGACTCCCACAGCGCTTCGGCAGCCATCTTAGCGGTCTTTACTGAAGTCGCCTTGCTGATGGTCAGGGCGGCGGGCCTGTTGCCCCCGGGCTCGGCTGCGGGCGCAATCTGCAGGGCATGACAAGCCATGGAGGGATACTACGATAGCCAGAAGCAACACTGCAGCTAGCAGCCTGGAACCCTGGTAAACATCTCCATCATCCCTGCCCGTCTGTGCTGCCTTCCCTGCTCCTCATGCAAGCGGGTGGGCTGGGCCAGCTCACCATGAGGCCCGCAAAGTCATCCTCAAACTCCGCCAGCGCCCGTGCCGCCTGCACCGCCGCTTCCCCGCGGCGCGTCATCTGCAGGGCAGCGCAGCGCAGAGGATCGATTCAGAGCGGCAGGCACCCACTGCAAAAGCAGCGTGGGCCTGCTTGCGCAGACTTTCCGTTCAGCGCCTGCCACTTGCCTTGTCCAGCACCTGCTGCACCTCGTGCGGCACCTCCTGGTCCAGCTTGATGGCCTGCCGCGCCTCCGAATCCACCAGTGCATAGTACTGGTCCAGGGCGCTGTCAATCTCGGCGGCGGCCCTGCTGCTGCGGATCAGCGGCGCCTCTGCTGCCGCTGACAGCACGCGCGCACCCTTCACGGCGTGGGTGTACTTCCAGAGGGATGGAAGGAAGTCATCTGCAGTGCAGGCCAGTGGGCGCACAGCGGCGGTTCGAGACAGCTGCCGGTGCGGGATCTCTCAAATGTCCGTTTCTCTTTCAGCCACAGCAGCAGATGGCAGCAGGTCACGAGCAGCAGATGGCCACAGAAGCAGAGACAGCCTGTTGGGCAGCCAAGCTGCCCAACAGCAACAGTAGCAGCAGCAGGCTGTACGCTACCCACCTAGCAGGTAGTCGGTGGTGTTGACAAAGGCAGCAGCCAGCGCAGGCACACGCCTGGAGGCTACACCCTTGCGAGCCACCGCGCCCAGCAGGTCGCACGCCTCCTCGATGGCCCCGTGCGTCTTCAGGCCCAGTACATGCTCCTTC